CGGGGTCGTGTCCTGGAACTGCCCCACGTGGGAATTGGGATGTGAGGGTGAGGGAATTGGGATTTCCCAGGATTCTTCCCAGGAATTCCAGCCCCGGGGTCTCTCCAGAGCTCTGAGCCCACTCTGTTATCCACGAAACCCTGGGAGCAGCCGGGGTCGTGTCCTGGAACTGCCCCATGAGGGAATTGGGATTTCCCGGGATTGCTCCCAGGAATTCCAGCCCCTTTTGTTCTGGTGGCATCCCAGGGAGCTGCAGGTGACAAACCCCAGCCCAGGGCAGCATTCCCACAGGGAATTCTGCTCCAGCTGATCCCTGTCCTGTCCCTCGCAGGCACCTGGCCCCGCTCTTCGACAACCCCAAGCTGGACAAGGAGCTCCGGGCCATGCTCAGGGAGAAATTCCCGGAATTCTGCAGCTCTCCCTCGCCCCCCATCGAAGGTAGGGAGCCAGGGGGGCTCCTGGCAGATCCTCCCAGGGATTTTTCCAAGGAATCCCTCCAGCAGCAGTGCCCGGCTGGGTCGGGCGAGGCTCCGGGGGAGCAGGGCTGGGAGTTTGAGGGATTGAAACAGGATTTAGGGAATTGTGGTTGCTGGGATCCTTTCCCGGGGCTGTTTTTTGGGAGAGGCCCTGGCCGAGGCCTCACCTGGCTCCGTGCTGCCAGTGAAAATCGAGGAGCCGGTTCCCATGGAGATGGAGAATCACCTGGAGAAGGACGACGGCTGCTACGACAACGCCGAGGCCGCCTTCAGCGACGACGAGGAGGAGCTGAGCAGCAAAGGTCAGGGAGCTGCTGGAATTCCCCGCTGGCACACGCAGAATTCCCGGCCGGCAGCACCATTGCCCAGCAGCTGATCCCGCTGCGAGATCCCAGGTTTCCTCCGGCTGTGGAAGGGCTGATTCCCAAACCCAGCGGGATTTGGGAAGGGTTTGTTCTCTCTCCTGGCCGTTCCCAGGAGCTCAGAGCGCTTTTCCAGCCTCAGGTCCCCTCTGGAGCCTCCCTGGGGGATTCCCACCATGCCAGGGGGTTTTCCCAGCTCTGGGAAGTGCCCACAGGCCTGGCATGGGGCAGAGGATGTGGCCTGGGAGCCTCAGGATCCCAATCCCGAGTTCTGCCTCCTTGGGAATGTTGGAGGGTCGGGTTTGGGAGCGGACACTGAGCAGGGAGCACGATCCCAGACATTCCCACCTTTATCCAGAGGGGAAGAAGGATCCAGGACAGGGATTGCTGGGGAGGAGGAAAATCCCTCATTCCAGGGGGGCTTCCCGGGTTTCCAGGGAAGAAGAGGGAGTTCAGGTTCCATCCGATCAAGGAATCCATCGTGGAGGAGCCCGTGGACATCACCCCGTTCCTGGAGCAGCTGGACGAGTCCCTGCGGGACAAAGTGCTGCAGCTGCAGAAGGGCAGGTGGGGCCCTTATTCCCATTCCCATTCCCATTCCCATTCCCAGGGATCTCCCCAGGGAGCTCCTTCAGCCACGCTTTGTCCCCAGAGCAGGAATTCCTGCAGGAAAAGGGCTTTGGATGGAGCTGGAGCAGAGCCCCGGGGCTCTCAGCTCCGCCCTCAATTCCCAGCGCCCAGGGGAGGTTGAGCAGGGCTCAGCCCCGGCCATTCCATGGAATTCCTGCCTTTAACGCCCTAAAAATCCTGGGATTCACCCCAGCCTGGGATCTGCAGCCCTGGGCCTCCCCAGGAGGCTGCGCCGAGCCCCGCCTGGTGCTCCCAGTGCTCGTTCCCAGTGCTCCCAGTGCTCCCAGTGC